CCCATTTTCATCATAGCTAAGCAATTTATTTATCAGCTCAATACTAAGGAGCAGACAGGATTAATTAATGATTAATTAATAGAATTAATGCTTTTTCACTATATAATCAATAGAGCTCCCCCCTCCCTCCTCAAGAACCCCCAAAAACTGAGACAATATATTTAAAAATTTTGGAAGAGGCATCCTTGTTTATCATAATCATGCACTTAGTTTGTTTAAATAATCTCCAGTAGCAGAGAAGAAGATTTTTAAAGAATCAATGCATTTTCACTTTATAATCAATAGAGCCCCACCCTAACACCAGAACCCCTGACCCTGGGGCCATGAATTTCACAATTTTGGAAGAGGCACTCTTGCTCATCATAACTATGTACTTAGTTCCTTTATTTAATACCCAGGAGCAGAGAAGAAGATTTTCAAAGAATTAATGCATTTTCACTATATAATCTATAGAGCCCCACCCTAACACCAGAACCCCTGACCCTGGGGCCATGAATTTCACAATTTTGGAAGAGGCACTCTTGCTCATCATAACTATGTACTTAGTTCCTTTATATAATACCCAGCAGCAGAGAAGAAGATTTTCAAAGAATTAATGCATTTTCACTATATAATCTATAGAGCCCCGCCCTAACACCAGAACCCCTGACCCTGGGGCCATGAATTTCACAAATTTGGAAGAGGCACTCTTGCTCATCATAACTATGTACTTAGTTCCTTTATTTAATACCCAGGAGCAGAGAAGAAGATTTTCAAAGAATTAATGCACTATATAATCTATAGAGCCCCGCCCTAACACCAGAATCCCTGACCCTGGAGCCATGAATTTCACAATTTTGGAAGAGGCACTCTTGCTCATCATAACTATGTACTTAGTTCTTTTATTTAATACCCAGGAACAGAGAATAAGATTTTCAAAGAATTAATGCATTTTCACTATATAATCTATAGAGCCCCGCCCTAACACCAGAACCCCTGACCCTGGGGCCATGAATTTCACAATTTTGGAAGAGGCACTCTTGCTCATCATAACTATGTACTTAGTAACTTTATTTAATACCCAGGAGCAGTGAAGAAGATTTTCAAAGAATTAATGCATTTTCACTATATAATCTATAGAGCCCCGCCCTAACACCAGAACCCCTGACCCTGGGGCCATGAATTTCACAATTTTGGAAGAGGCACTCTTGCTCATCATAACTATGTACTTAGTAACTTTATTTAATACCCAGGAGCAGAGAAGAAGATTTTCAAAGAAATAATGCACTTTCTCTATATGATCTATATAGCCCCACCCTGGGGCCAGAACCCCTGACCCTGGGGCCATGAATTTCACAATTTTGGTAGAGGGCTCAATGCTTATTACAATGATGCCAACAGTTTGACTGCTTGATGTCCAGGAGTAAAGAAGAAGATTTTTAAAGATTGCATTATTTTTGGTGGTTTTAGCCCCACCCCTCAGGCCCCAGGGGGGCAGGGACCATGAAATTCACAATTTTTGTTCCCCTTCACCTATAGATGCTATATGCCAAATTTGGTTGAAATTGGTTGAGCGGTTCTAGAGAAGAAGTTAAAAATGTTCAAAAGTTAACGGACGACGCACAACGCACGACGACGGACGAAAACAGATAGCAATAGGTCACCTGAGTGACTCAGGTGACCTAAAAAAATGTACAATGTGTAGGAGAAAATATTGGATGAAAAAGTTATCAAAGGTTTCAAATTGACAACGATGCTGCATGTGAAAAATTATAGCGTGTAAAGTGTACTGAAGGATGTTTAGATTAATATAATTAATAATATATATATTTTTTGGACCTAATGTGTATTTTGGTTGTAAATGATGCAAATATTAAATTGCTAAAATATCAAGAAATTGTAAACTTTTTAATATGTTCAATGCTCTGCCTATCTGCAATCGTTCTTTTCAATCTATACATTTTTTATCACTTCAAAGGACATTATTGTGAAACTTTGAATGAAAAATTAATCCTCATTTAACTAATTACTATATAATCTATTTCCATTTTCCCCTCTGCTACGTAATTCCCCTTTGTTAGTCAAAGGATGCCATACATTTGAAGAAAAAATAGTTTTTAATTTGAACGAGAAATATCTTTACTTTTGGGAGAGCTGATGGTACGTTTCTTTTTAAATAAAAAAGGGTGCTTTATGCTTACATTGTTTATTTCAGCTCCGATTCCTATACCTCTATTTTCATTACAGATGTGCGTGTATTTATATAGCGAAAGTTATGCTACGCACTTTGTATCATATTACTGATCAATTTATTTTTTTTTCCAAATATATAGAGGATATTCAATGTTTTGTAGATGAATATGGAATTTATTTCACGAGTGGGACAGGATTTTTTAATATTTTCACGAGTGCGAAGCACGAGTGAAAATATCAAAAAATCCTGTCTCACGAGTGAAATAAATTCCATTTTCATCTACAAAACATTGAATTTTCTGTTTATTACATTTTCTTTGATTTTCCCTTTGCGTCTGTGTTTTCTTAACACAGTGTCATAGGCTTGACGTCATAGTTGAGCAGCTGAGACGTCATAGCTTAGCAGTTGTGCGATTGTAAAACATTACATAGCATGGATTTCAGCAACATATTTGAGAAGAAATTTGCAGTTTTAGCTCTATCAAAATGCTTAGTTACTATCTCTATCTTATGACAGGTCAGAAATTATGTTTTACTTACTTTGATATCCTTTCACACTGTGAGAGAATATCATTATGGTATCCTTTCAGACTGTGAGAGAATATCACTTTTATTCAATAAATAAATCACAGTATTTCACTGTTGAAAATGTAATAAATGTAAAAAATGTGTGTGTGTGTGTACAAGTATATATACATGTATATATATATATGAAAGAGGTGCTTCATGTTATAATTAATATTGATTAATGAAAAGTAATTTTGCAGTAGAACCCACAATTGCATGGTATTAAAATTCTATCTTGTTAATTGTAAAATCATGGTTATCGTCTGGTACATACATGTATGTCAGGAGTCAAAATTCAGAGTTCAAAACTAATTTGTAAAACACTCGTCATTTATTTGAAATTTATCTTCACAACAATATGGCACGCTTGTCTTTATTTTCTGTTACATGTATCTCCGTAATCAGCTTCAAAACCCTACTCGCCAAGTGGAAAAAAATCTTCTCATACCATGAAACAGTACTAATCTTAGGCAGAGAGCAAATTTTAGATTTAAAGAAAAAATATCGGGTTTAAATATTGAACAAATCAAATTTGTTAACGTTTTATTTTCCATAAAATATTACAATATTTTTCCGAACGTAATTTCAGAAACCAATTTTTAGCCAATTAAAATCAAAGAAAATATTCCGCCAGAGTTTCCAGTCGGTGACACAAGTTTGGACGTTGTTTTGTTTGAAATATGTTCATATCATTAATCATTTTAGTTATTAATAATGAAGTTTTTAATGACTGTAAAATAAAATAGAAAGTTTATGAAACCACGATGGACATTAATGGTTTACCAAATACAGTGACTTAATTCATAAATGGAAAAGAGGTTTTAATTTCATGACGTATAATTATCTCGATAGAACAAATTGTATTTTGATGTTGGTATGCAGAACTATAATTTAGTAATTAAATGTTTTTTGTAACGGAATAAATCAGAATAGACCAATCAAATCCATTGATACTAAGTAATAACATTTGATCAGAAATGCAAACTTTCTATTAAGATTCTTGACTGAGAGTAATAAAATTGGGAACTTTGAAGTAGATGATTAAAAGAGCTCTAGGCTAGAACTCCTGTGATGGCTGAACACATAAATAAAACAATCGTGGGATATATTATGATGCATTGGTGAAATACAGGTAATCCCAGACTGAGATCAGACTATAATTGCTATCAAAACATATTTCACACCTATTGTTCTATACTAATTATCAAATGTCTGCAAAACGGGAACACACCGTGGGTATAAATGCAACTTGATTGGAGGGTGGTGTCATGTTTGGACTCATTGGTCAACAGACAGAATTACATACAAAGCGTAGATGGCAATCAATGATAAGACAGCCAATAAAAAAGTACTTTTCTATCCAGGACCATGAATACCATCTGAGCAAAAAACAAACTGTTTGCTAAAAAAAAAAACCAAAAAAAAAAAAAAAAAAACCCGCACTTTTCAGAACTTTTCGGACTTTTTTTTAAACTTCTGGGCTTCTTGGTTGACTCTCTTATACGCTTTTACTCTTTTTGGTTCTGGCTCTCAGCTCTTGAATATTTTGGACTTTTAAAAATTTCGGATTTATCTTATTAATAAAAACTGTTGTTTATACCAAGTGTTTTGGTCTATTATTCTGAGACATTTCAGGATTAATAAATAAAATGTAAACTCTATACGATCACGGTGTATTAATACACTTCGAAAACGTTAAAATATTGTTATTATTATTACTTCTTTAAATTTCACATAATCTGTCTTTTAGAAAAAAAATAATGATTGATTAAAAGAAATAAAACGACATAAGATTGATTTATTTTAGATTAATCTATTAAAAATTTAAGTATTAAGTTGTATTTAATAATCATTTTTTTTTCATATGTAGAGCCATGTTTCAGCTACGATTACATGCAAAGGAAGCGTTTCCTCTTGTTACATTTATGATATTATTTAAATTGTTCATTTGATTTACATGTACGGAGTTAAGAGCTTTAAGGAGAAACTTGACGTATATCACTTGTTAGCTTTTGAGAAAAGTTTGTGCAGTTTATTCACAGGTTTACGTTCGGTGCCTTAATTAGGCTTACGCTTCATGTTTCAGAGCTTTAAGGAGAAACTTGAGGTATATCACTTGTTAGCTTTTGAGAAAAGTTTGTGCAGTTTATTCACAGGTTTACGTTCGGTGCCTTAATTGGGCTTACGCTTCATGTTTCAAATACACTTTGAATTTTTAGGGAGGGAATTTACGTATTAAATAGATTGAATCTAGATAAATTATTCTGTTTTTCACTCAAACATTGTGAGGTTGAGCAAATTGAATTGTGTTTCGATACTAACATTTTACCAGCGGAACCAGAAAGGTATGTTAACTTTTTAAGATGTATATTTATATAAGTTCCATTCATGATTTGACGAAGTGCCGATTCTTTGTTTTCAGCATGCGCGTAAAACATAAATGAAATTAATTATCACATGTTATTTGATTTCTCTGTATTACAGAATTTTTATTCCTATCTCATTATTTAATATTTTCTTTTATTTAAACATTCAAAGCAATGTGGACTTCCACCGTTCTTACCTCCCTTGCATTGTTTTATATCAATGTACCTCCATCGACATCTTCATCTCCAGACGAATTTATAGGGACCCTTGATGGTTACAGAAGCGCCTGTCAAAAGTTAGGCTGGAAACCTAATTCTGGTAGTTATATCAGAAAAATTTTTTCATGGGCTGTTAATGCACGAAAGTATTTTTATATAAATGTTTTCAAAATTGATATTTAACAACTTGCTTTTAATTATACCCTCTCCCAAAAAAGTAACGCATGGTATAAAATTTGAACATCAATTATGTTTTTATTTAGTTTTATTCAAACAATACGAATTATGAGCAAAACTAGAACGGACCTCTTAAAACAGAGGCAGGATCAAGTCCATGGAGAAGAAGTGAGCATCCCCTTTCGAACGGTTACACCCGCCGTGTGCTCTTTGTCATGGTCGGGTAAGCAGGAAAATCAGTGTTAAGACAATAGCGTTGTCATTTGTATGAAAGACACCAGTCAACATTCGACTTAACGACCGATTGTATATTAAATGTATATTTGTCTGGTGCACCCTGTAAACAAAGTTTTTTTTTTAAAGGAGTTTGCTCTTAAACACTTATCTACGTTGAACACATTTTCTGTCCATCTTTTGTTTAAAAAAAAATAAGATCAAACGAATCCTAAACGTTTCTCACACGATTCTTGCACGGAATTCGCACGTTTCCCACACGCGTCTCGCACCTTCGCTGCACGGTTTGCTCAAAAAGCTTCGAGCTGCACGATTTACATAAAAAGCTATGCACACGGTTTGCACGAAACATTACACAGTTTGCACGAAACGATACACAGTTTTCATGAAAAAAGAGCGCACGAAAGTCACACGCTTTTTGGGGGGCGGGGGGGGGGGTAATATTAGCAGGTTTTAGGGTCTGTAATTATACAAAAAAAGTATCGCTTCCGCTTTTTATCACTATTCTAGTGCGCTATCACGCTATATAAAAATCAATTTTTCACTTTTAAAAATGGCAAGCTAAAAAATATATTATTTAGAGGTTTATCATAAAAAAAAATACTTAACGAGCTACGAACATGATGAACTTATTCGATTAAAAAATATTTACTGCTAATACCACCGAGAGATTGAATTAGTTGTGATGGGTACTGTTAATACCAACGAGAGATTGAATTATTTAGTTGTGATGTGTACTGTTAATACCTCCGAGAGATTGAATGAGTTGTGATGTAGTGTTAATACCACCGTGAGATTGAATTAGTTGTGATGTGTACTGTTAATACCACCGAGAGATTGTGTACTGTTAATACCACCGAGAGATTGAATTAGTTGTGATGTGTACTGCTAATACCGCCGAGAGATTGAATGAGTTGTGATGGGTACTGTTAATACCAACGAGAGATTGAATGAGTTGTGATGGGTACTGTTAATACCAACGAGAGATTGAATGAGTTGTGATGGGTACTGTTAATACCAACGAGAGATTGAATGAGTTGTGATGGGTACTGTTAATACCGCCGAGAGATTGAATGAGTTGTGATGGGTACTGTTAATACCAACGAGAGATTGAATGAGTTGTGATGGGTACTGTTAATACCAACGAGAGATTGAATGAGTTGTGATGGGTACTGTTAATACCAACGAGAGATTGAATGAGTTGTGATGGGTACTGTTAATACCAACGAGAGATTGAATGAGTTGTGATGGGTACTGTTAATACCAACGAGAGATTGAATGAGTTGTGATATGTACTCTAATACCACTGAGAGATTGAATTAGTTGTGATGTGTACTGTTAAACCTCTTCCCCGCAGTCACGCATTTTAACGCATAAACCATTTACTATTTCTAACGCAAAATCACGCATATACCGTTTCCCTGCAATCACGCATTTTTCACGCACTTTCAAAAGTAAATTTAATCTTCAATTTAATGCCAATTCCCTTCTAATTTATACTTGCTAAAATCTCATAAAATAAAAAAAGTTATAATCTTATTAAAATATTACGTCACAATTATTTACGCTAAACTTTAGAGAAACTTGTACCTCGCTATAAAGTGCTTGCGGGGAAAAGGTAACGTCATATTTCTGTGATGTGAACATTAAGTGTACGTTGCGTCACAGTTCAGTAAGTTTTAAATACCACCGAGAGATGATTGAATTAGTTTTGATATGCAAACTGTTGACCAAATACGTCATTTTGACATGAGTTATAAGTTTAGGACATATTGGGATTTTTAAGGTGTGGATCTTTTTCAGAATATAGAATTTTTGTCAATTAGGATATGATAATAATTTTTAGGCAGGTATGATTTTAATGCATGCATATGCGCCAGTATCTGTTGAAACCATTCATTGCTAGCAAAATTGCTCTGTCTTCTGAAAATCGAAACTGAAATCAATGCTCGTGCATTTGTACAGCCAACTCGTCCTAATATTCACAATATACACTCGATAAACTTATTTGACATGTTTTGTATCTATAGCGGAAAGTATACATTATCTGCCTGTAAATAATGAAGAAAACCTTTTTTTTTCTAAATAAAGGGAAAAAGAAAATCATTATCTCAGCATTTGATATCTTATAAAATTGTTAAATATTACACCCTGAAAATATTCTTTAGAAATTCCTGAGAAATTTTCAATTACTTTCAAGTTTTTCCAATGATATTACACATATCCAAAGTTCTTTATTGTTATCTTTCAGACTGTTCAGCCGAACTCACGACCTCTTTTCATGCTAATTTGCAAAACAATCTCTACAACGTTGAAGTAAATACAACCATTAAATACCAAAATGTGCTCTTAAACGAAGGAAATGGATATAATCCGACGACAGGTATATTTACTGCTCCAGAAGACGGCGTGTACTCTTTTTCCTGGTCTATTCTTACCAAAAAAGGAGGGACGGTTTATGTCATGGCAATGGTGGAAAATGAAACAAAAATACGCACGTGCATTAAAAACCTTCAGGACGACTACATTAGCGTATCTGGGCATTTGCTTCATGAACTGAAGAAGGGCAATCAAGTGTGGATCCAGACATACCTGTACACCGCTACATATATCCACGCAAATGGCTATACGTACTTCTTAGGGCACAAGATAAATTAATTTTGAAAAGTGTATTCCGAGTGAAATGGAAAATCAAGTTACTAGGTTAAACAAAACGAACCCAATTTTGCCGTAGAACTTTTTATGCCCCCGTTATATAAGATTAATCGGGAGCATATAGTTTTTGCTCTGTCCGTCCGTCCGTCTGTCTGTCTGTCTGCCAGCAAAAACTTTAACATTGCCCGTAACTTTTAATTGATTGGAGCTAGGGCTGTCTTTCACATGTATATTCCTTGTGAAGAAACCTTTGTCCGCACTATCATATTGGACTTTGGCATTAAAATTTGACCCAATTTTGCAAAATTTCACCAAACTTTAACTTTGTTCATAACTTTTAAACAGTTGATAATAGGGCTCTTGTACTTCACATGCGTATTTCTTGTGATAAGACCTGTCCTTGTGTACACTACTTTACTTTAGAGCTTGACTTCGGATTTTGACCTACTTTTGAAAAACTTTAACCTAGGTCATAACTCTTGAATGGTTGGAGCTAGGGCTTTCATATTTCACATATTTACATATGCATTTTTTGTGAAAAGCCTTCCACTGAGTACATGTACCAACAATTCTGAGTCGTTGACCCTTACCTCTTTGAAAATTTTGATTATTGGCCATATGCATAACATTTGAAAGGTTTGTGCTAGGGCTTTTATATTTTACAAGTGTATTCCTTGTGAAAATTCCTTTCCTTTGACCTTGAACTTGGAGTTTGACCTACTTTTGATAAACTATGATCTTCGCCATGAGTTGCCATACGGGGGCACCAGTGTTTCACAAAGTTATTAATCTTTTTTCAATGTTCTGATATATGATACAGTGAACTACATGTACTTGTATGATAAGGAGTGCATAATTTTTTTTTAAATTATCAATCTAATAAATAATTAAATCAGTGCATATGTAAACGTTATGTTTTATAAATCATGCAATACATATATTACTTCCCCCACTTTTATATTTAAAAATGTATGTTTTCTCATCTAATATATGCAGTTTGGTTATAAATGACTTTTCTCGATTTTCCAGGACATTATTTTAATTAAAAAAATACGAAAATCAAGTATCTTGTACACAAAGTACAGTGTACATATTGAATCAAATATCAGTTTTAATATAGTGTTGTGCTTTCATGCAATATATGTAACTAGTAGTCAGGGTTTGACACATGGTGCACGAGCCGGAGGCTGACTGTGCTGACTTTTGTATAAAAACGACAGTATTTTCTCCATTTGCAATGTTTCATCACCTCTTACAAGCATGTTAGTACACCCCTATTATGACGTCACGTTGTGCTACGTGTACGTGATATTTTTCATGAAATTAGATATAATTTAATTTTGTTTGTATTCTAGCCTCCGATTGGTTCATATCCAAAAAGGAACACAAATTATTTCTGTATAACCTGGTTTGGTATGGGGACCCCCCCCCCCCCCCCCCCCCGACAACCAGCTGAATCATCTGTATCCATACAATCCTCTCATTTCCAGTCCTTAGGATTCATGGAAAATTCCAGATTTAATAAATGTACCTTTAACTTCAAACAATAATTCGATCTTACCACATGTAAACAAACAACAAGGCTGCTAGGCCTATGTATCAGTTTTTACCTCCCCTTGCTTCCCATCACTTCCGTTACTTCCGTTACTACGGTTGTATTATTGAGCGGCAAATTTGAACTAATAAAAAGCAACGAAATTTTACACACATAGTTATTTAATGATTTTGAAATTAAATTATAAGGAATGACTCTAATTCTTGGCCAATTGCAAATTATTCGAGTATAACCTGGTTTGGGTCAGTTTACGCTGTTTTAGAGCGTAAACTGACCCAAACCAGGTTATACTCGAATAATTTGGCCAAGAATTAGAGTCATTCCTAAAATAATGTATAGGTAGTTTCAAAGAATTTTATTCGGATGAAAAGAAAAAGTTGCAAGAAACTATTTAATTCAGAAAAATTATTTGTTTATTTTTTAAGTGTCAAACATTTGAAACTAAGTTTATATATATATAATATATATATATATATATATATATATATATATATATATATATATATATATATATATATATATATATAAAGCACATTTTTACAACAACTCTAAAACTAACATAACTGCCCTAAGTGAAGAAATATTAATATAGAAAGCACAAAGAAGTTCACTTTTACAAGGATACCCACTTCCGCCCCCGCCCGGGGTTGAACTCTCGACCTACGGAATCTGTCTCCTAGCAGTACAGGAACAGCGCGCTAGACCGCTCTGCTATCTAGGCAAGTCAAAAAACTTGCTTTCGATGCCGATGGAATTCTCGAGGCGCTGCCCTAAACTACACGGTCATTGAGAATGAAAGTGAGATACAGTTAGTTGGACCTTAGTTTTATTAGAGGATCGTTACCAATACACGTCGTAATGAAATCAATTTTGATTTTTATTTATAAAGCATATTTTTACAACAACTCTTCACTTAGGGCAGTTATGTTACTTTAAGAGTTGTTTTAAAAATGTGCTTTATAAATAAAAATTAATTTCATTACAACGTGTATTGGTAACGATCCTCTAATAAAACTAAGGTCCAAATAACTGTATCTCACTTTCATTCTCAATGACCGTGTAGTGTAGGGCAGCGCCGCGAGAATTCCATCGGCATCGAAAGCAAGTTTTTTGACTTGCCTAGATAGCCGAGCGGTCAAGCGCGCTGTTCCTGTACTGCTAGGAGACAGATTCCGTTGGTCGAGAGTTCAACCCCGGGCGGGGGCGGAAGTGGGTATCCTTGTAAAAGTGAATTTTTTTTGTGCTTTCTTTATATATATATATATATATATATATATATATATATATATATATATATATATATATATATATTAAAATATAGTGTTGTAGTTAACGGCGTCTGTGGCTAAATCGGTGGCACCTCGGACTGACAATCACGGGGTCGTGAGTTCGATCCCCGGCATAGGGATGATGTCGGATTTTCCTTAGAAAATAAATCCGTGCACTATTTCGGCATAGTATACTTACGCTATATATCCTTTGAACACTATGCGATAATAGTTGGGCACTGGTTATATATAGAGACAAACTGACAGGAAGCATAATATTTATTACATACTTAGTAATAAATACAGGATTTTTGTTTATATGCGATATACCTGACTTCACAATGGCCGCGTATTAGACACAGAAAATGTATTCGGTCAATATCACTTGACATGGGTCCTTATAACCACATATCGACCTACACTGAAGTCCATAATTGTATTATATCACACCCCATTTTTTTCTGGAAAGGAGATGGGAGAATGATGCGAGAGAAATTCCTATAATGCGACAAACATGAAGGTGAATAAATATTTACATTTCACATATATTTTGCTTAGAAAGTGACGGCATTCAAAACACCATAACACGGACAGGGGGTCAAAAGGTTAAAGTATGCGTTTTATTTTGACGTCACAAACGTTCAACGTCGTGGAAGTGCAACGTCATAAGCGAAAATCAAAATTCACGCTCATATTGAACTGAAGCTGTTGCAACGGCTCTTCCATTAATTGTAACTTACCCGAAGGATTATACAGGGATTTTGAAATATTAATCACCTTTGCAGTCAAGGCAAGGGGTTAACAAATGTAAATATAGGCATCGAATAATTATTTTTTGAAAGATATAGTCTCATAACTGCAACGGCGTGTAAACAAATTTTCAGAATGTGCTAACGCGCGTTACTCAATTTGTTTGCACACACCGTTGCAGTTATGAGACTATATCTTTCAAAAAATAATTATTCAATGCTTAAATGTAACATTTTTAAGAACGACGTCATAAAATATCGCGACGTCACAAATGGCGTCGTGAATATCGATCCGATATTCGGTGCAGAAAAACAAGATTAAATGATTTTTTAAAAAGAAAGAAATTCACGTCTTTCTGCTTCAAATAATCCATGAATCATATCATAATAATTCATTAGTAATGAAATGATTATTAGACATGTTTCTCTTCTTATGTTCTTTTTACGTTTCATTTTAATAAAAAAAAATTCTCGCAAGGGATTTGAAACAACAATCAATCCTTTAGTTTATTTCAATTTATTTTCGTTATGTGTTGTTTTCTTACCGTTTTTTAATGTTTTCTTTTCTTTTCTTTTTCGTAGACTAGATATCCTTGCATTTGGCTGTGTATTTTTTTCAGCGTGCTGGCGGAAAACGGTATCCTCTTATTCAAGTATATGAAATGTTTTTACTTAGAACACTCAGCAAGGCGCTCAAATCTACGATATCTTGTAAATCAATGAATTTCCGCCAAATATAGTCCCGACTAAATACGATATATTTTCAGTATATGTATTTTTTTAAAAAAATATTTATTTTTACATACAGACAGAGGATAACTCAAAAAATTCTTAACTTGATTCTATGATTATTACGTATAAGAATTAAAAAAAAACCAATTAAAACAGTCGAACGAGACATTTTTAGAGGAGTAAATGGAACGAGAATCTAAAAATTAATTTTTTCTGACTCGATTAACAGCCAGATTTTTTTTGTTTTTTTTTTGTTTTGCGACTTTTCAATGTATAGAACATTACTTCAACTTGTTGGACATGGAAAGCAAAGTAGCGAATAAAATCTGTAGCTAGCAGCATTGTAAGCCGTTACTTACAAGAGATCAGTGTCGCTCAAAAATTGTCTTTATGTTTCATAGTACCTTTGCACTTTTTAATTTGTGATAAACTTGTAGATATATTTTAAAAATGTCCTTTTTTAAAATAAAGTTCAAACTGTTGATGCAACAGGTGTATTTACGTTTTTTTTTTTTTTTTTTTTTAAATAATGACTTCCTTAGTAATAAAAACCGTTAATTCAAATACGTTCAAAGGAAAAAAAAGGTAAGTTGAAACTTGTGTCCATGTCGTTTCGCGATAACAAGTGATAACAAATCAATCGCAATTTCTCGGGTCTTTCCGACAAGCCGGAAATCAACTTCTTGTTTTTCCGAGCTTGCCGGAAAGACCCGAGAAGATACGATTAATAACAAATAATTAAACGCTTTCTAATACTTCCAGTGTCGATCATTCGAAACGTTATAAGCATTCATTATTTGTGATAACTTCAATTTGTTCCATAAATAATATTACACTAGATTACCAATTCCAACAAAAGTTTATCTACATATTGTATCGACTGTTCAAATCGTAAAAAGCCTTATTTGTGCTAAGTTGTTGCTTAAATAATATAACACTAAACTTAGCTAAACTGAGTTAAGGACATTGGCAAGTCAGGGCTTTCCGGAGAAAAAAGGCTTAATACATGGGTTTTTTCACTTGTAAAATAGTGATTGAGAGTGATCTCCCGTGCAGATTTCTCTAAGCGGTGAAAACCAGTAAAGCGTATGTTATAGAGGTAAACAAAAGCACGTGTACTTCCTTCAACGGGTAGAATCTTCTATACAGCAAGAAAGAAAAGTAGTAATGGCTTTGTTGTACATTGTATTCAGGGACATAGAGCAAACAGGTCGTCATTTACCATAGTTATGCTCAGTATGCTGGGAAGGGCAAAGATGTGACATATGCTGAAAGGTAGGTCG